ACCTATAGTCCCAGCTACTTAGGAGGCTGAAGAGGGAGAATTACCTGAGCAGGAGGATGAGGCTGAGATGAGCCATGATCATGCCACTGCACTCCAGCCTGGGTGACAGAGTTGAGAAGCCAATTGAAAAAAAATAATGTAAAACAAAATGATAAAAGACTAGCTCTAAGACTCCCTGTGCTCTAAACACCTTCTATACTCTCTCTTGGGGTTGGTTAGGGTTAGAAATTACTTAGGCATCTTAGGGCCCCTGGTTATGCCTCTTTCTTATTGCCTTTTAGCATCGTTGCCTTTTGCACATTTGCAAGGAGTGAACCTCACTCAGGACGAGGTAGGAAGGAACTTTCCAGGCTGGTTCACTCCTTAATAACCACAATCCTGAAACAGCTTCATGCTGAATGAGAGTCGAGCATGATAAAAGTGGAGTTTGAAATGACTCCAACTTTTGAATCACTATATGCCATGCCTATCCTGCACATATGTGGAGAATTAAGGTTTGATTTCATGTAGGAAGCCCCAAACAAGTCTCTACTTCTTTACCAAGACATCTGAAAGCCAAGCTGCAAATTCTAAAATTTTAAGCGCAAAATGACCAAGTGAAGTTCTCAACTTTTTTGGAGAACTATAAACTGCTAATTCACAGTCCTGAGCCATGTCTGTTCTTCCCAAGCTCTGGATGTCCATGGTGAGTTGATTCACTCAGTTTTGGCTCCCCTAACCCGTGGAAGTCAGTAATGAAGTAGTGAGGATATTGAAGGACTGGGACTCCTAGTCTGTGGACTGGAGTTCCTTGAAATCTATAGCAAAAGACTGCATAGTCATAATGAAATACTCAAATAGCTGTCCTACAAGAAACAAATTCTGGTTACCTTTCTTATGCTAGAAGTATATTGAATGTTCCCAGTTGGGAAGCTTAAGGGATAGACAGTATGAACGATCAACGAGGTCAATGGTATATCTAAATGTACAAGAGCCACATTTCCCCCCAGGGTGCCATAAAAATGTATATATCGTTTACAAGATGTCATTTGTGGATTACTTTTTGAAGTTGAATTGAATTATAGTAGCAATGTGTTAATTACAGAAGTCAAACGTGATATGTATTCATCTTTCATTATCAGTATACTGAGGGTGCCAAAAAAATGTCTACACATTTTAAGGAAAAAAAAACTATATTAAAATTGTAATACTCAATATATACCAATAACAAAAGATGAATACAAGTCACGTTTGACTTCTGCAATTACAAGAGGTGCTCAGAGTGGTTGCCGTCAGCATCCAGACACTTCTGATTATGGTGAACTAAGAGCAATACATATATAACATCACTTAAAATGTTTATACACTTTTTGGCACTCCCGTTATATTGAGTATTACAATTTTAATACAATTTTTTCCTTTCTTAAAATGTATATACTTTTTTTGGCACCCCCCGTATGTCTGGATGAGCGGGAAAGAGTTGGAAGAAGAACTTACTCTAAGACATGTGAACAGGTAGAATTTGTGCAATGGCAGAGTCACAGGATCAAAGGATAGACAGGATCTTGAGAGACTGCTGGTTCATCATTAGTTAGCAGAACCAGGTAGCGACAAAATAAACATCAAGAATAAAAGAGACTACTCCAGTTCTGCATGAATTGTTCAAAGTGGCAGATAATGTTTTCATGCTGTCATCTGCCAAAACAAAGACCAATTCTAAGTCTCAGCATCAGCAGCCAGCTGATTGACAGGACAGATCTCAGACTCACCAGCTGACTTGAAGTCATATTAACTACTGCTTTCCCAAAGATGTGCTGGAGAGATCCCAGAAAAGTAGCCAGGTCAGAATTCAGAATCGCGAAATGGAATCATCCTTCAAGGCCAATTGTACATGGATTACCTAATGGATTGGCCAAGTAGTGTCACAATCCCTCAGAAGACAAAATGATGAACCCCAACAGATAGCTAGCATAAAGTCAGTGAATGGTAGCAAGCAGAAAAGAGGTCCCCAGCCCAGGAGCTCTGGAACCCAAGAGCAGGTCCCATGAGAGCCAGCAAGCTGGTAAGAAGTGGAAGCTGGAACAGAATGGTCAGATTCATTGGAACCCCAGCAGGCTCTGCAGGACAGCTTGGATCAGGACTGGTAAAACACGTGTGAAAACAATAAATGACAGCGTCTAGAGGCTATCCGAGCCCCAGAGAAGTGCAACCCAGCCAACATCCAGCCCTCATTTGGAGCAGGCAGTGGCAGAGAAGCAAGGGTGAGTGAAAACCATCCAGGGAGACCTCAGTCCAAACCCGCTGTCTGGTGCACGTGTTTGGAAAGTCCAGCTTGAAAGTAAAGTACAAGTGTTGGAACAGATTTGGGTGGGCAGTGGGGCTCTCCCTTGTTGTAGCCTTGTCCTGCCGTCGCAGGCATAGACAGCTCGGTTCCAAAAATAGCTACTCATTTCCTTGCCACGTTTCGCCCTGACGACGGCAATGTGATGCGTGGTGTTAAGGTCTTTACCCAGATGTGCGACGATCCCTGGTGGGCTGCTTCTGGGGGTGGCTGCTTCGGTGAAGAGCTATCAGTTCCCTGGGAGCACGCCACGGAAGAAGGGGGCAGCAGAGGCAAAGCAATCTCTCCCTTCAACCTTCCACAAGATTTACGAGAGGAAAGTCAGCCTGCAGTTGCACTAGAGAGCACAACTTTTCTGCTTCTGCAGTTTCCGCCTGGTTCACAAGGGCCTGGCAATCTCCGCAAGGAGAAATAAACTAGTCAGCTGGTTCCCCAGGTAGCCGGCCACCTTTCTGGGAATCTTCTGCACGTCCACTCCCGTTAACAGAAGAAGAAAGAGCCAAACATATAAAGCAGCACTCCAGTGAATCAGATAGGAGCAACTTCTCAGACCACTTAAGAGGATCTTTGCAGAGAGGGAGAGGGAGGCAGAAGCCTTCGCGACACTACTTTCTCAGGGTCTTTTCCATAGGTGAGGCTGGAGGGGTTTGGTAGGACCTCTTTCACCTCAGTACTGCTGAAAGGCTCAGGAGGTGGAATGGCCAAGGAGAAATAGGGACACTTGCAACTTACACAAATTAGATCAACTTTAGTATCCATATTTAATTTAAACTCATCAAACTGAAAAAAAAGTTGAAAGGGACTTGGGAAATAATAATTGGGTGACATCGCTAAAACCAAAATCAGGCACAACATGTTTTCTCAATTTAAAAACGTGGGTGTGTGTCTTGGGTTGGGGGGATGTTGAATAAATCAAGTGCGATTTTAATTTTAAAAAGCAATCAACATTTCAAGAGTTGCCTCCATGTCTGAGGTCCCGGTACCAAAGTGACCACAGTTCATTAATAAATTGAAGCCTATCATTGGCAGACTTCATCATCGTACCCTGAAGGAAAACACTGAGATTATTAACTTTATTCAGCAGGCTGTCTCGGAAGGGAATAAAGGAAAGCAAGCATTTCTTCTTCTTCTTTTTCAGAAACCCCAACCCTGACTGTTTCTAGTGGTAAACACAGGAACACCCATGCTGTGCAATGCTTCCAAGAAACACCAGGATGACAAGAAGCAAAATGTCACATCACCCTGGGTGGTGGATCCTCAAGTTCCACATCCACGTTACGGGTAAAAGAGACAACTGATTAAGTCAGAACCTGAAATGGGAGACGCTACTTCCCAAAGGAAAATTAGATGCTTTGGGAAGCTGCGTTAACTCTTTCTGGCCACTGAAAATGACATTTCTATATAGTCCCCTTGGAAGAATTAATGCATCTTCCTGAAGTACTTAACTTTCTCTCCAAGAATCCCAACATTCGCCCTGAGAAACTGCTTCCTACAGCTGGATGTAACTGATCTTTGAGTGCTGTTATGAGCCAGATTTGAATGCTTTTCATTTAATCCCGGCAAATCTGCAAAGTATTCATCATACCCACTTTACAGATGAGTAAACTAAAACGGATTAAGTGTGTCCAAAGCACAGGGTAGCAATGAGGGAAGCAAGTTCTCTGATTGCAAATCCCACTGCAAATCACAACATTCATGTTTGATTCCCAGGCTATTTATTTATTTATTTATTTATTTATTTATTTTTGAGTTGGAGTCTCACTCTGTCGCCCAGACTGGAGTGCAGTGGCCGCTTCTTGCCACCGCAGCCTCGCCTGCTGGGCTCCTGTGATCCTTCCACCTCAGCCTTCCGAGTAGCCGGAATTACAGGCATGCGCTACCATGCCAAGCTGATTTTTTGATTTACTGTAGAGATGAGGTCTTGCTGCCCAGGCGGGTCTCGAACCCGCGGGCTCAGGCAATTCACTCACCTCAGCCTCCCAAAGGCGCGGGATTACAGGCTGAGCCACCGAGCCCGGCTCCAGACTATTTAAATAGCCGAGGGAACCCCAGAACTTGCAAGCACTGTCTTTAGAGTCAGAAATATCTAATCAAATATCAAATCAGTTTGAATTCAATCTCATGTGACCGGCTATAGGAAGGGAATTATCTATCTGCTCCCCATCTTCTGTGCTTCCAAGAGTAGACTTCCATGCCACCTTCTGAAAGGTATAATATTATAATATCGCAAGGGACATTTCTGAAAGACCACTGAACTGCCACTCAGACAACACGGGCTGGCTCCTCTCCCTTGTCCTTTGACCTTGCCTGTTCTGGGCAGGATGGGACTGACCCAATTCCCTAGCTCCAGAGTGGGCTCACAGCTCAGGCCTGGCCAGTCAGAGCCCTCCATAACCAGCAGTGTGCTTCAGGGTGGGGCATACAATCCCAGCCAAGCCAATGAGAGCCATGCCTGGGCTTTCTGGTAAAGAAGGGCTCCCTGTCCGAGACTGGAGGTGCCAAGGGTGATATAATACTGGACTTGTTGGCTGCCTTTCACAGAGATGCTCCATGACTGTGACAAGCCACCATCATGCATACGACACCAACAGGCCTTTGTATTTGCTGTGCAAAAGCTGCTCAACTTCTGAGACTATGGGCACAACTTTTGTTCTGGAAAAACAGGCCCCCCTAAACTTACCTGAAGCACTGGAGACCCGAGATACATCCTGGGACTGGGTAGAGCGATTGCGACTCTGTTGTCGGCGCCGGCCGGAGGCTGACCTGGTGGTGCGCACATGGACCTCACTCACCTTGAAGAAAGCCACCATGAAGGGCTGCTTGTCATAAGGGCCATCTCTGCCCACCAGACCGGCGGCACGGGGGTGGATGTGGAGTCCTTGAATGCAAACCAAAGCATGCTTCTCTTTATTCCACGGAAACTTATTCCTGCAGTTGCACAGTTAAGGGATTCCTAGTCTCCCAAGTGCTAATAATAAAGACTGAGTGTGAAGAAAAAGATCATGCATTCTCGCACTTTGGACAGCACCCTCAGAATGGGCAGAGTCAAAGCCCTCCTTCACCGTGATAGGAATCACATCAAGCAGTGGTGTGAACTCCAGGCTCTCCTGCCTCTGCCTAGGGAAGCCATCCTCTCTTTGTCACTTGGAACCTTGACCACTCTCCCCCTGGGAGATGTGGCCCAAGCCTGCCTCCAAGTTCTTTCTGGAAGACCTCAGGCAAAGGTTTCCCTTTTCCAATAGCAGTCACAAGGGAACAGTGAATGAGGCCATCCTGAGCTGACGACTTGACTACAGCCCATGGGTCTACCCCAACTGATGTAAAAAACGAATGAAGATGGCTACATGCTAGATTCTGGTAGCACATGAATAACTTACCATCCCGCGTCACCACGCTCAGCTGAAGCCCCATGTTATGCTGCGGGGTCACGACCCACAGATTGCTGGTGGCTGTGATGTCAAATTCCAGCCAGCCTTCTTCTGAGGCCCACACCACACGAGTGTCCAACAAAAATAGGTCAGAGTCTCTGAAAGAAAGAAAAAACGGCATGGTGAATAGCGCGCTGCCCTGCCGCTCCTCCCGACTCCGTCCTGTCTTAATGTCAGGATAAAAAGTGCCCAAGTCCAAGCATGTCCCCTTGCAAAGCGCCATGAACAGTGATCTTCCACATCTGACAGGTGTGACACCATCCAGGACACAGGCGGTACACAATTAGGACATGCAATCAGGCGCTTCATAGAAGTCAGCTTTCTCCTGGACACAGAGGGTCCCTCAGCCTCACTATAAGTCTTGGTAGTGCTGCTGAAGCAAGTCTTTTTTGGAATTAGGATATACTACAAATAAATGTCATTTCGTTTTTTAATACTTATTTTATTGTATTTTTGTATACTATATTTATTAGTGGATAGCTTACTTTATGTATAAGAAACTCTAAAAAGGGAGAAAGTGGGAGGCAGTGAGGAACAGGATTTAAAAAAATTAAAATCAGGTGTGTGGGCATTTATAAAGTTGGACTTTGCTCATTTTTTTAAAGTTTTAGGACCTGAAAATCTTTACATGTTAGTTCTTGTGAAATAAGGAGCTTGAGGCCAGGCATGATGGCTCAAGCCTATAATCTCAGCACTTTGGGAGGCCGAGAAGTAAGGACTGCTTGAGTCCAAGAGTTCAAGACCAACCTGGGCAACATAGTAAGACCTCATCTCTACAAATGATCAAAAAATTAGCCAGGCATGGTGGTGCACACCTGTAGTCCCAGCTACTTGGGAATCTAAAGAAGGACGACCATCTGAGCCCAGGAGATCAAGGCTGCTATGAGACCCTGACTGAAAAAAAAGAAAAAAGAATAAGGAGACCCGAGAGGCCGCATCATCCATCTAAGTAATCCTCCCATCTTCTTTTAGTTAAGGGCTCAAATGGCCTCCTGTGAGTGTAAAGTCCTCTCTCAGGTGGACCGTGTCACCAGGTGTGTGTCTCAAATAATTTAAAGTTCATCCCAGCACAGCTGTGACCTATGTGGGGTTCTCTGAGGCAAAGTCATAGAGTCCATTCCTTCTATTGGGCTCCACAAGAAATAGTTTTAATTTTTCACAGTTTTCAACTGACATAAGCCCAGGGGCTGGGGATAATGGGGCATGGTTCACCTACATTTCATGGTAGATCAGTGTCGGGGGGGGGGCGTTCTCATGTGTTTCAGGGACAATTTTAATCTGGATTTACATCCCAGGGTCACTAAAATGAAATGGCCCAGGATTCCCATGACAGGGAGGGAACATTTTGGCCATGGAAAGATGCAAACCTCCTGGTGTTAGAAATATTTTGCTGCAATATCTTATAGGGACAGAAAAATGAGTAAGATTAAGTACTAAATTTAAGATGCACATCACAATACTAATAACACACATCTAAGTTCGTTGCAAAGTGCTTTCATCTATATTCCTTTGCTTGGTCCTTACAACCATCCTAAAAGCCAGACAGGGTATCATTATCCCCATTTTACAGCTGGGCAAACTGAAACACAGACATGGAGTGACAGTCATGCAGCCAAGATCTCAAGCTAGTAAGTGAAAGAGCCAGGACTTAGTGTTTATTCAAAGAGTTTTTCATGAGGACAAACTTCCTTTTGCAATTATTACTGAAGACAAATGAATGAAATTCTTCTCTATTTCAAATATTTATGAGGCTAGTGAAAACATTGAGATAAAATTTTTCGATTTCTCTTGCTTACATGGCTGCTTAGACTTAGAAGGGAATCTACTGTCATCTTTTCCAAGTATAAACAGTAGGCACAGCTAAAAGTCGTTTACTCAGCTGCTTAGCAGAGTCTGCAGGGGTCTGCGTTCAGGCCTGCCATGTTTAAAGCTCTCCCCCACATGGATGTGTCACACCCCCTGTGGACACATTACCCCCCATCACTGAGGCAACAACTGTGAGCCGGAGACAGGGGGTGTTCATAGAAATCAGCAAGACAGAACTGCAAGTCCAAAGCTTTGAAGTTCAGATGTAAAAAGACATAAATTCTGTTCTGGAAGGCCGTAGAAGACCCTTATCCAGAAATAATACAGCCTGTATGAACAGCACTGTGAGAAAGTAGCCCTGGTCCCAAAAGAAGCCCAGCACATACTTGTGTCACAGGGGCATTCTCTAACATCAAGACCAGTGAGGATTTCAGGGTGTAAGGTTCCCCCCTGAGAACAAACTGGGAGTGTATGGAGCTATTGCTGAGGGTCAACTGTTGCTGTTGACAATGATGTTACAGGCACCTAATTTTCCAGGACGTATGCTAAGAATTCAGAGAAATACAGTCGGGAATGTGTGTGTGGCATGGCCGGCAGAATGAGCTGGAATGAGCTTTCATATTTTTAAGAGTAGAGTTTATGATAGAGGAAATGGGAACCCACTCCAAGAGAAAGTGGGGGGTGAGAGAGAAGACTGTCATCCACAAAGGAGAAGGAAAGCAGAGAAAAGGAGAAAGAGGAGACGGACTAGAATTAAAGAGGGAGAACACGAACGGAAATGAAGCTTGGGCAAAGGCTGGAAAGTCTTGAGAAGGATGAACAGTGATGGCGTGGAAGCAATTACATCTACAGGGCAATGGGACTCATGGGCATGAGGAGCCAGGTTTCCATTCTGACTCTGCTACTGAGTCACGTGAGGACCCCCAGGAATTCATGTCAGGCACACTCTTCTGACTGTACAATGGGGATGATGCCAGTTCTCACTGCTGAAGAGACCTGTGAGATCGACAAGTGTGGCCTAACCAATGAGCCTTGAAAGATGAAAACTCTCGGTGGTCCAACAGCAGTGAGGCAGTCTTGAATTCAGATATCTAGATCCAGGATGCCCAGGTCCTTTGGAAGAGAAATGAGGCAAGGCACAGGCTCAAAATAACTAGACTAGATGGAATAGAGGAACAACAAATATTTACGGTGCCAAGAGCTTTTATTCCTCAGGACAGCCACAAAAGGTGTGTCCTATGATGATGTCACTTCCACAGTTGAGGAAATGGAGCCCTAGAGAGGGTCTCAAAGTCCCCCGGGTGTTAAGTACGGCAACTGGAATTTAACCAGAGCCCAAACCCTTACCCATCATGTACCTAAAAAGTTAAAAAAAAAAAAAAAAAGGATCACAAAATGGATAGAGTACAGACTGAAAATACTGAGCAAGAACTCAGAATAAGGTAAGGGATCGAAACCTACTGTGTGTAACTGCTAAAGATAGTTGGATCAAGAAAATGCAGTAAAAGCCACAGGGCAGGCACAAGGTTAGGAATTATGAACAGACCAACCCCAGCAGCGTAAGGGTAAGGGTGAGAGGTATAGGAAGGCGCCCAATATGGCTGACGTTACTGCAGATGGTGGCATTGTGGTGGAACCCCTGTGACCCTCCCAACCTTGCACTGTTCCTCCCCCGAAGCAGAATGTTCTTTGTGTCCAGTGTGAGAGCATTACTAACACACATTCACATAGCCAGGAGGAAGAACTTTAAAAAATAATTCAGCTTTAAGGCACAACTTCACACTGCCTCACCCTCAAAGCTTCTAACAACTCAGGTATTTTAAAGACACTACTGATGGCAAATCACTAAAATAGTTCTGGTCTGACCCATATCTACTGATGTTGTTCAGGAATATATGGCCTTCTTAGTCTACTGACTCTGTAAAACTGTAGCCTCAAATAAGATGCAGCTGACTATGCCATGTGAAAAATAAGGGTTCCCTTCTAAATCTCACTTCGACAGAGTTGAGATGTTCTCATCTAAAATGTGTGCCACTGCCGGATAAAGAACCCTAGAGTCTAACCAAAATCACCACCATGAATGGATTATTTGGCCTTCCTACTGAGATGACACTCTTTCAAGTTAGCAAGCCATGAAAGAAAATCTTGAACACAGAGAAGATACAATTTTGAATGCATTTGTTAACTATTTTGTTCTCAGCTAACTCACAGACCCCACCTTTGCACGATGAATGTGCTTTTCCATCCTCAAGGATATAATAATGTTATTCTTCTCAAGGTTATGCCAACCCTAGGGCATGATCGTCCTCATATTGTGATCATCCTGGGTAAATGAAGTTCTTAAGTAATGAATAAGACTAACAAGATTTCTAGAAAATTTCCAAAAATTCACCTTGTCCTTAGAGTTGACCAATCAGCAAACCACTCACAAAGACCTGTAGAATTGGTATTTGTGGGCAAGATTATCCCTGTGTGGTCCATTCTACCACACAGACTCCAAGGCACCTGCCCATGTTGGTGAAAGGCCCTCAGGTCGAGGGGCAGAAAGCACCATTGGCAAAGTACGCTGGGTCTTTCTCTCCTTTGCCCTTGGAAAAGGGAAGGAGGGACCTGAGTTCCTGGTAGCCAGGCTTTGACCCTTGCTGACAAACTACACACCCATTAAGGTCACACTGCCCTGGTCAAAGTATAGCTATGTTTACTACTAACTATTTTGCTAGAAAAATGTTCTTGATAAAGTGGAATTTATACGTTCAAAATAAGCAGATTTATGAAATACTTGATAAGGTGACTCTGTGGTCTTGCTACTTTATTTCTTCATAACACATTCCTTTGCCATTTATGTGTCTGGATTTGATAAATTAAGATACAAAACAACATTCATACACTGATGAACTGACTATGCAATAAGAAAAATTCAATTTTCAAATAGAATGAAAGCAAAAAAAATCAATCATTTTAGAAAATTAGATAGTCAAGTCCTTGTACTTTTTCCTTATGTCAGGTATAACATCGATTATGCTGAAACTTTTACTGCTAGAAAGATAGAAAAGAATAGTATATGTGGAAATAGGGCACTGCAGACCAGGATAGACTGCTACATGCACGTACACACATACGGGTTTGAGTAAGAAGGATGATGAACATTAGTAGTATATAATTGGCTAAGCTTTCATTAATTTTATGTTCCTTGCTATTACTCCATTTTCAGTTCAATGACCAGCATGATATAAAGAGTTGTTTCAAATATAAAAGGCACTTTGGATCTGTAAGGGATATTTCATCTTTAACG